TTTTCACTTTCGCACTCTCTTTGTGCGTCACGAATGGCCTAACCAAGATCATCAGCGGGCTCATCTTCTGTCACTACCTCTTTTTCAGCTTCCCCCATTGCAGTATCATTGAAGGCACCATATTCAGCAAAAATGTCATCATCGTCCCATTGTTCTTCACCTTCTTCCATTACAACCCCGGTTTCTCCGTGCTTCGTCTAACAAATATAGTTTGGCATGAAACCTGACTTCAACAAGTGTGAATGAAGACTCCTTGAGCTAGCATATTCCTTCAAATTCTTACATATGGCACATGGGCAGCACATGAAACCATCGCGTTTGTTTGCCTCGGCCACACGTAAGAAAGAATGCACGCCCTCAATGAACTCTTGGGAGCGGCGATCAAGCATTATACATCCAATGCGGCTCATCGCATTACATGACATACATACCATATTAAAACCTAGAACATAATTAGTTAATTATACGACATGCATGCCACCACACAAGGTATTAATTTATGAAAGTCTCGCTACAATGTAGACAATCCCAACTACCACTAAAAAACTAAAGCTAAAATGCACTTCAAAGAAGATAAGGATTTTCATGACCAATCCCAACTAAAAATGACATGATCATGCGTTTGTTCAACATCTATGGGCTTCTTCCAGAGGATCATCGCCTCATTAGCCATCAGAGTCACTTTGTGCAAAGACAGCTTTTGCACGTGTTCAACATACTCTTCCTCCCAAGACCAACTGAACATCCGGTGCCATCCCATTGAAATTAAAACAAAAATTAGAACTTTAATCACAATCATCATGAAAATAAGTATAAATTAACCATAATCATCAAATGCGACAAAATAACTAACATTGCGATCCGGACACTTGTAGAAGATACGGCCCTTGTTGGGACACTCCTTCCTCACCCGGTACTCCATCACAATCTTCTTCTCACACTTGCCACAGTCGCTTTGGAACCTGATGAGAGGCCGAGGACCCGGAAGCAGTTGCCATCTACTCTCTATACTCATTTTTAATATAATATAAATTTCTCATTTTATAAACAAATAAAATTAAAAAAAACTCTAAAATTCTCTATATCTCTAAACCATGAAGTGTGCTATGCATGCTAGAAATGAAAATTGAATACTAGTTTTGAATAACTACTTTAACCTTCCTTCATCCAAATATGCAAACTTTAAAGTGATTTTGAGCTTAAATGGCTTACAAATAAAAAAATCCACCATAAAAAATCACATATATTTAGTCCACAAAATGAGATATGCTACTGATGAAACATAAGAGTATAAAGTTGGTAACCTTTAGAACCGAAGAATCGATGGAGGAATCGAAGAAATCTTGTGATTACCGACGATGAGGAAGAAGAGAGGCCGGCGATGAAGCAAGAACATTGAGCTCGAAGTGGCTCGGGCTCGGGGAGGAAGAAAGGCTATATAGGAGGGGACCTTTAGTCCCGGTTGGAGACAGAAACCAGGACTAAAGGTCCCTTCAGCCGGGAGTAGACTTTTACTCCCGATTGAACGGACCAACTGAGAGTAAAAGTTAACCTTTAGTCCCGGTTGGTAGCTCCAACCGGGACTAAAGGTCCCCTGCCGCAAAAGCCTGCCGCAGTAGCCGTTGGGCAGGACCTTTAGTCCCGGTTGGAGCTACAAACCGGGACTAAAGGTATCTCTAGTCCCAGGCGCGAAAAATAACGGGACTAAAGCCAAATTTTGAACTGGATCAAAGGTCGTTTCTCTACTAGTGTACATTCTTTATTCGATAAATAATATGAACTTTTAGATCTTACCCATAAAGCTATATAATATATAAGGAGATTTTTGACCTTCCAATAAAGTATACATACAAGACCATTTGTTGCATCTTGATACCCTATAGGTTATTTTAGTGTAAATCATAGGAAATGTAGAATTAGTACATAGGTATATATCAATAAGAATTCCGCATTGTTTCATCATACCATTATTTTGTGTTCTCCGTCTTGAAGAAATTAAATCACTATTGTATTATAAATTTGCATGCTAGTAGCATTTTGGCACTAGACACACAAGAGTTGGTGTAGAACAATGTTCCCACCCAACGTATTCGTATAATAGCCTGTCCATCGACATATCCAGGATAACAGTAGAGATGGGTGATTGCCAAGAACATATAACACAAAAATCCTAGGTGGCGGTCTCTGAAACCAGACAACTGATGTGGCATTCTGAACATGGAATTACAAACTTGGTAACAACTAAGTTCCCAATGCCTCTCGTGCCTATACTACTGCCACAAGGTATGTGCAGACTAGGTACTTTATTTGCCTCAGTTGAAATGCTGCTATTGTGTATCAAGGGTTGTCTCTTGTATTGTAGCGTGCGCACGCACAAACATTGTAGATGTGCTGTGATTTGGGCAACAAGATGGAGTTCAAGGATGGCCACCATTGGTTGGATAAACTCCTAAATTTTCACTACTGTTGTTGCAAAGCCAACGGTGGAAGACAAACTTTGTGGCATGTATATATAGACGTGAAAGGAAGGAGCAGCTATTTATAGACCAGGACTAATGAGAATAATTAAGTTGCTAGCATGTTGGTGTAGGTGTAAGGATATACAGCCTGTTCGGGAGGCCGTATCGTATCGTGGATTATTTACTGCTGGCTGGTTTGGTGTGAGAGAAAAACACTGTTCCCGGCTGGAAATTTACGATCGTTTACGAGCAAGTGAACAGGCTGATAGATCTCGATGTTTATGAGTGAGATGAAGGTGTGCCATAACGCATGGGAGTTATTGTCGCGTACCATGGTTGCATGATCCAATGTTGCGAGGGGCCCGGACAAATTAAAAAAGGATAAAGAAACTATCCTCTTACCAAGGTATAAATCCATTTAAAGTTTATCCTTAGCCAAACGTTTTGGCCTCTAATTATTAGTATCTATGATTCTATATATGTAGATTGATACTATTAGTAGATTCATTATGAACAATCACCACTAGAGCATAAACCCTCCAAAAAGGGCAACTTATAACGTATCGACTAAACCAAAAAAATATGCAGTAATGGAATTTTATTATTCGGACTAAAAGGGTTTACACTATATACACCAATTTGTCTTGAACCTTGTATGTGCACATGTACGTACGTTTGCACATCAAACATATGGAACAAATCAATCTTTTTACCAGTTTACCCATACCGATTTACAGATGTATTGATGTTTGAGTGTTTGACACCTAGACTTTACAGGAACAAGACATTAACATACACACAATTTTTACACTACCATCAATAAAGAAAAAAAACAAATTAGCTTTGGCAAGAAACAAATAAAGGCCGTCTTCTGATACAAAATTATCATGCACTTCCTAGCATCCACAACCTACACTGCTACTGCTTTTAGCACCCACGCACTACCGGAAACAGTAGGTTTGCCGCGTACCCAGGGATTTGCCGAGTGTTACACTTGGTAAACCGCACTCGGCAAACAAAGACTCGACAAAGCTGTCTTTGCTGAGTGTTTTTTGTCGAGCACTCGACAAATACTATCCCGAGTGCTAAAACCGACACTCGGCAGAGACTTTTCGAAAAAAAAAACCCACGGCCGCCCACCCGCGGCCCCCCGCCGCCGCCACCACCAGGCCGCCGCTACCCCGCCGTGCACAGCCACGGCCGCGCACGCGTCCCGTGATGACGCCGTTGATGTAGCGGAGGGAGGCCATTAAATGCGTCAAGAAAAGGGGAACAGAGGCACAGAGCAGATGAAGAAAGTGACGGGCGGCGGCGGCATTGCATCGACAGATGAAAAAACAAGAAACGCGAGAAAGAAAGAAACCAACGTTGGAGGAAGTGATGGGGGAAGGAGGGACGGACGGCACCCACCCCACCCCCAATCAGTCAAATCAATCAGAGTCCGTCAGGGACGCAGGAAGCAACCATAGCCAGGGCAGGATGGGAAGGAAGGGCAGCGAGCATACCTCTGCTAGGGGAAGGCGGCCAAGGCGGTGGAACATAATGCGGTCCTGCGTCCTGCCCGGTGGCTGGCCTGCCTCTGCCTCTGCTGATGCGCGAGCGACTCCTATACAGGATTTCACTGCCGCAACTCGTCCGCGCCGCCGACGAGGCGACCACCGATGAACAGCTGCGGGAGTGCCAAGGCACGTCCCCGCGTGGCCAGCAGCGCCTGGAGCTCCCGGCGGAGCGCGACATGCTCTGTGGAAGAGATAAGGGAGAGAGAGAGAAAAGGAGCTGGCCGATCGTGAGCCTGAGCGATCTGGGCGTGTTACTTTATAACGCCGAGTTTGCCGAGTGTCCTCGATCCGACATTCGGCAAACTTATCTTTGCCAAGTGTCTAGGGTTTTAGGCACTCAGCAAATATATTAGTTATTTTTTTTTCATATTTCTTTGCCGAGTGCCAGACAATTATACTCGGCAAACATATTTATTTGCCGAGTGCCTAATTTTGTCGAGTGTTTTTTTTTCTAGTTCGTCGAGTATCGAACTTTGCCGAGTGTTTTTTGCCTCGTTTGTCGAGTGCAATTATTTTGCCGAGTGTTTTTTTCGCAGCACTCGGCAAAGAGCGTATTTGCCAAGTGCCCGAGATAATGCACTCGGCAAACATAAAAACACTCAGCAAAGTGCCGGTTTCCGGCAGTGACGTAGCGACGGAGTCAAAGAATTCTGTCGTCAGTTATGCAGCGATGCTGATGCTGGATATACGCCAATTCGATCGAGTAACTAAATCCAGTGATTCATCCATCCAATGGAGAAAGTTCTTAACGACAAAATCCAGGAAGCAGAGAAGCTATATATATGTCCATACTCGCGTTCATAAAGCGTACCAGAAGAATTAACTGTAAAACCACTAGTATATTGTACAACTGAGCATCAGTAATTAAGTAACCTCAGGTAATACTACAAACTAATGCCACAACCATGCAAGCTATTGATCCATATTTACATGTAGGCGTTGCATCCATAGTCAGATCTCGATGATCCTCCCAAACTCGTCCTCAGAACTCCATGATCCTCCCAAGCTCGTCCCAGGTGCTGCCACTGTCCTTTAAGCACGTCACATCGCTCCACCCGAGAGTCGATGTCGATGTCGACGGTAGCAATGGAGCTCCCACTCCCATGAATCCTGATGACGACGTCATTGTCGTCATCTCGGCCGATGACGACGACGAGCCATGGAAACCGCGCAGCAGGAACGGCTGGTGGTGCTCAGTTGCAGCATAAGCTGCCTCGGATGAGTGCAAGCAATGGTGCTGGTGGTAGCGGTAGTAGTCATAGTAGTACTGCAACTGCTGGTGGTGGGGATGGCTTCTCTTGCTGCCGTGTTCCTGCTTCTGCTGCTGCTGGCACCTCCGGTTGTAGGACGTGCTCCTCTTGAAGATTCGGCATATCGTCCAGATTTCCTGTGATTATTAGAAACGAAGAAAGAATTATTAGTAACTTTGTTTCAATTTACTTGTGTTGAAAATTCATCTATGTTATCAGCAGTTTAGCACTGACAGCATCATGGAGCTCAATCCACTCCGTAGAGGGGAGTCGGAACTCGTGCATCATCCAGTCAGTCTTTGTGCCCCTGCCGGCGCTGCCGCGGTAGTAGTAGACGAGGGACTTCTTGAGACCGACGCGCTCGCCGGCACCATCATGTATGGGCTTGTCGATGCCGGTGGCCTTCCAGAAACCAGAGCCAGTGACGCGGTTGGGCCGGATGCTGTTCCTGTACTTCCGGCCACGCAGGCAGAAGAAGTAGCAGTCCTTGTCTCCTGAGTCTTGCACAATATGCCGAGCTTCATCTGCAGGCACGAATGCCTCACGCAGTTAGAACCCCAGGGGTATATGCACATAGATCATAAATGGATATGACAGGAATTGAAACATACTTGGAAGATCCCAGGGGTCATGCTTGTAGATATCGATCTCCCTGATGATGTCAAAACTGAAGCCCTTCTTCTCCACTTTCCTCTTCAGGTAGAACCCCACGAGCTCTTGATCAGTTGGATGGAACCTGAAGCCAGGGAACACCAAATCATCGTCTTCATTTCCGTCGTCTGCTCCGCCGCTGCTATCCTTCTTAGTGATCCTTTGAGATGGCTTCTTCTCCTCCTCCATCGCTTGGTTTATTTATTGGAGCTTCTGTCTTGCTTGCTATGAGTTTGAAGTTTCTAGGGCTTGATTGCTGCTTACATGGTGATGGGGCAAAATGGAAGCTGCTGTACGGACTTGGTTAATCGCTGTATTAATATGTTTGGATGGCCAAATAGGGCCAAATGGAAGCGGCTTACACGGTCCTTACAGTACATGAGTGGTCATCAGACGTAAATTATAGATAGCCAAAGATGAAGCTGTCAGAATCTCCAAGTCAAGTCAGAGAAATTTTGGCCTTATAAGTTGAACTTTCTCATTTTATTTTCTGCACAGATTAGGAGAACTAAGCAATTGTTTAACCTAATTAATCTACTGTCAACAAAAGATGCTCGGCAGTCCACCGAGGGGCATCCCACGATGGTAGATTTGTCGGTGGGGGTAAGCGTAATCAGGAACCGGATGGTGACACAAGGCGCAGAGACAACGATTTAGACAAGTTCGGGACGTCTGATCGACGTAATACGCTACGTCCTATGTCTTTGGTATATTGTATTGATCATAAGAATTAGGGATCGTGTCCACTAGGGGACCCCTGCCTCTCCTTATATACTCTGGAGAGGTAGGGTTACAAGAAAAGTAGCCTATTTGGTATTATACAATATCTTGCGGTGCACGCCGAGCAGTGTCGTGCACGCCTTGATCTTGTGGGCTGGGCCACCTCTGATGGTGCAGCCCATGTCTTGTCTTGTGGATACCAGGGGCCATACCCCCACAGCTAGTCCCCGAGCCTGACAGTAGGTGACGTAGTCACATGGTGCCAGGGTCAGAAAGCAGAAAACTAGCCGAGCAGACAGCCAGTCCCCGAGCGTAGCCTCGAGATGAGAAATGCGCACATTCACCGCAAGGTGAATTGTGCCCACTTAGTCCCCGAGCCTGCTCGAAGATGAAGAATGAATCTTGTTGCAGGGTCAAAGAAAAAGAAGTCTAAAAGCTTGCCGACGTCGTCTGACATGCGCGCATCAAGACCCCAGACGTGTTGCCCAAAATCAGCAACCTGATCCGAACAGTATGGAGCAGCTTGATAGCACACAGATGAGACGTAGCAAGATCCGACCAGCAAGGGAGTCCCCAGCGTTGCTGACGATGTCCGAGCACCGAAGAGTGAGGAGTCCCCAGCGTCGCTGGTGATGTCCGAGCACCGAGGAGCGAGGATTCCTCGGCGTTGCTGGTGTTGTCCGAGCACCGAGGAGCGAGGAGTCCCCGATGTCGCTGGCGACGTCCGAGCACCGAGGAGCGAGGAGTCCCCGGCGCCGCTGGCGATGTCCGAGTACCGAGGAGTTCTCGGCACCGCTGGCGATATCCGAGCACCAAGGAGCGAGGAGTCCCCGGCGCCGCTGGCGATGTCCAAGTACCAAAGAGTGAGGAGTCCCCGGCGCCGCTGGCGTTGTCCGAGCACCGAGGAGCGAGGAGTCCCCGGCGTCGCTGGTGATGCCTGAGCACCGAGAAGCAAGGAGTCCCCGGCGCCACTGGCGTTGTCCGAGCACCGAAGAGCGAGGAGTCCCCGACGTCGCTGGCGATGTCCGAGCACCGAGGAGCGAGGAGTCCTCGGCGTCGCTGGCGTTGTCCGAGCACCGAGGAGCGAGGAGTCCTCGGCGTCGCTGGCGCTGTTCGAGTACCGAGGAGCGAGGAGTTCCCGGCATAGCTGACGATGCCCGAGCACCAAGGAGTCCCCGACGTAGGCGATGACCGAGCAACGAGGAGTCCCTGGCGTAGCTGGCTATATCCGAGCACTGAAGAGTCCCTGGTGTCGCTGGCGATGTCCGAGCACCGAGGAGCGAGGATGAAAGCATCTAGGCCCCTAGTTGGATTTCGGTGATTAATGTCAATACAAGATTACTATGACTAACGTGTGTTTTGCAGAGGCAACTAAGTTAGGTCATGGTAATGGAGATCGATTGGGCAATCGAGGTTGTCATGCCCCTACGATGGAAATCGTTTCGGTTTTCAAAGGATGGACGACAAGGTTAAGGATAACTAGTTCTAAGTGTCGATTGGAGTTGGAGAGACATTTAGAGTAGTTTAGGACTTTGTTTTTTTCCTTTGGCCGTACTATAAAGGGGGGTATGAACGGGTAGCTTGACCTAGTTGAGTCTAGTGAGTTAGGTGTGGTGCACACTTGTTAAAACTAGCTCTAGGTAGCTCCTATGAATGCCTAAGATCCTTTGGAGCAAACTTCATTCACATATGTTCGTAAGTTAGAAGTGAATGGAGGGTCAAACACTGACCGGACGCTGGCTCCGGTGCGACCGGACGCTGGCCGCAGGGTCCGGTCAGTTCGTTTGACTGAGGTGGTTAAGTCTGTTGTGACCGGACGCTGGAAGGTCGTGTGACCGGACGCTGAGGGCTAGCGTCCGGTCGACTCGATAAGGTCGAGACTTGAAAAAAAGAGTGACCGGACGCGTCCGGTCAATATGACCGGACCACGAGTATCCGGCGTCCGGTCGTTCTGATAAGCATCAAGAGCGACCGGACGCGTCCGTCCGGTGGTAACCGACCGGACCTCGTCGTCCGGTCATCACTTGAATCTTTGGTTCGTGGGTTGAACCGACCGGGCGTCCGGTCATCACGATCGGAGCGTCCGGTCGTCCCGCAGAAGCTCATAACGGTTAGTTTTTCAGGCTGCCTTATAAATAGAAGCTCCACTCGTGAGTGGAGGAACTTTTGCTCATTCCAACAGCTGAGAAACACGTTTGTGAGTGCCAAGAAGAGCAAGGTCCTAGAGAGGTGTTTGTGATTTGAGAATCCAAGAGAGTAGCCTCACTAGCAAATCAAGAGTAGCAAAGTGTGCATCCATCTTCTCATTAGGCTTCGCGTGGTCAAGTGAGAGTTCGTGCTTGTTACTCTTGGTGATCGCCATCACCTAGACGGCTTGGTGGTGATTGGGAGTTTGGTGTTCACCCGGCGGAGCTTGTGGGTGACCCAACTCAAGTTGTGAGCGGCTTTGGGTGATTCGCCGCGACGGAGTGTCGAAGAATCAACCCATAGAGAGCACTTGATCCTTGCGCGGATCAAGGGGGAGCTACATCCTTGCGCGGGTGCTCCAACGAGGACTAGTGGAGAGTGGCGACTCTTCGATACCTCGGCAAAACATCGCCGCGTTCCTTTCTCTCCCTATTTACTTTGAGCAATTCAATACTTGTTTTACATCCATAGAATTGCTTGCTTGAGTAAGGTTGGAACATAGGTGGTGAGTTCGTTGTGCTTTAGTTTGAGAGAAACACTTTTCTAGGCACAAGGGGTTAATTGGGCTATCCGTAGGATTTGTTTATTGCAAGAGAATTTCGAATTAGCCCAATTCACCCCCCCCTCTTGGGCATCTTGATCCTTTCAATTGGTATCAAAGCCTCGTGCTCACGTTTTTAAGCTTAATCGCTTAGAGCAAGATGTCTCACGGGGATGGACCTCCTCCTATCTTTGAGGGAGATGATTTTCCATATTGGAAAATCCGCATGGAGGCATACTTAGAAGCTCTAGATGTTGGAATTCTTAGAGCCGCCTCTCAAGGGTTCCCCGCACCTAGGAATGCCGCACAACTTCAAGGCGATGAAGTAAATTATGAAAAATGGAATGCAAAGGCTCGCAACACCATTTTTAGAGGCCTTTGCAAAGAGGTGTTCAATCGTGTAAGGAACCACAAAGACGCCCATGCTCTATGGTCGGACGTTTGTGCGCTCCATGAGGGAACCAAGAGTGAGCGTGAGGAACGCTATCATCTTGTGATTAAAAAGCTAAATTCTTTTGAGATGTTTCCCAAAGAAAGTGCTAATGAGATGTATTCTCGATTAAATGTTCTTGTAGAGGAAGTCAATGGGCTTGGACTTACTCAAATGTCACCCATCGGCGTTGTGAGAAGAATCTTGAGTGTCCTCCCCATTGACAAATATGGGCACATTGTGACCGTGCTACATCAAGGTGATCTTTCCGCCGCTACACCGACACAAATCTTGGGAAAGATCAATGCTCATGAGATGTACATGCACATCACACCACAAGATGGCTCATCCTCTACAAAGAAGAAAGAGAAGGACTTAGCATTCAAAGCTAGCCAAGACAAGGGCAAAGCAAAACTTGAGTATGAGAGCTCAAGTGATGAAGATGATGAAGAAAGCCTTGCCCTCATGGTGAAGAAGACCACCAAGATGCTAAAAAGGCTAAATAAGAGTGGCATCAAGTTTGATGGCAAGAAGAAGAAGTTCTTCACAAGCTCAAGAAGAAAGCCAATCTCCGAGATGGATTGCTACAATTGTGGCGAGCTTGGCCATCTAGCTCATCAATGCACAAAGCCCAAGAAAGACAAGTTCAAGAACAAGGGCAAGAAAGATGATTCAAGTGATGAAGATGAAAAGAAGAAGAACAAGCCATACAAGAAGAGAGATGGCAAAAAGAGGGACTTCTACAAGAAGAAGAAGAGTGGCAAGGCCTACATTGTCGGTGATTGGCTCACGGACATTGATTCATCAAGTGGATCATCCGATGATGATAGTGACGATGAAAAAGTGGCCGCCATTGCTATTGATATTGCATCTTCACGCCACCATCGCCATCATCCTCTACACACCTATGCCTTATGGCCAAAGGTGAACGCAAGGTAACTAAGAGTGATGATAGTAGTGATGATGAACATGCTAGTGATGATGATAGTGATAGCGATGATGATGACTCACCTACATATGATGATCTTGTCAAAATACTAAGAAAATATACTAAGATCATTAGAAAAGTAGGGCTACAAATGAAAAACTTGATGCTAAAAATGATTCACTCTTAGCTAAGTGTGATACATTAGAAAAGGCTAATGATGAGCTCAAAGAAACAAATGATTCTATATCATCCAAACTCAAGGAGCTCAAATCTTCTAAGAAAGAGCTTAAAGATAAAAATGATAAACTTGAGTGGGTGCACAATGAGCTTATCACTAGTCACAATAAGCTAAAAGATGAATATACAACTCTAAAGATCAATTA